CACACACACACACACATGTCTGGTTCACTATGCAAAGCCACACATACACACACACTAAGTCCTGTGCCGCAGCCTGTTTAAGCAAGTAAAAGAATATGAAATACATGATTTATTTTTAGGCTTGTTTCTTTGTGAACATACAATATTAATTGTATTTGTGCAGGTCTTAAAAAGTATGTTTGACTTTAAAACTCTGCAGATATACTGTAATAATCTATAAGAATAGCAAAGTCCACACTAACGATAATGACACAGAATAACAATATTGTTGGAATCACTTTCAGAGCCATTTTTTTTCCATCTGATGAACAAAAAAAACATGACAGCCAACCAGAATCCATTTGAATTGAAAGGTGACATAACACACAGAGTTATTCTCGAGTACTTATAGAGTAGTACTGCATCCTTCATGTCTCCGAAGAGTCTTTAGTTTTATCAGATTTATAAAAGACAGATACAGCTTCACGCTTCTCTCCGAAAACAGCTGTGGGCGGAGCTAAAGAGTCACGAGCATGCGCAGCTATTGCGTAGCAATCGTCTGCAAGCTGTGACGTCGACATAAAACGGGAACAACATTTTTATTGACTTAAAGGAGACATATCATGCCCCTTTTTACAATATGTAATATAAGTCCCTGGTGTCCCCAGAATGTGTCTGTGAAGTTTCAGCTCAAAATACTCCACAGATCATTTATTATATCATTTTGAAAATGCCTATTTTGAGTGGAAGCAGAAACACGCTGTTTTTCGGGCCTGTTTCTTTAAATGCAAATGAGCTGAAAATTTGAAATTTAAAATGATGGCGTCATGGGTGGAACCTTACAGATTAAGGGGCGGTAATATTATAATGAGATCCCTTTGCCACGTCACCAAGGGAGCGAAATCAGACGGGCTGGTTTGCTCTTCCGGGAGAAGTGCCCATACAATGAAATCCCGCCCTTTATGACATCATAAAGGGAAAAAAACTTTCCGAAACTTATACGAACCCTGAAGGAGTGTATTTGGCACAGAAATACATTCGTCATTCGTCCAACTCGTTTTTTGAATCTTTGGCCATGTTTAGCATGAGAATCCAACTCTTTAACAGTGTAAATAACTGTAATGCATGAAACCGCATTAGCGATTATAGCGGCAGACGACAAAACCTATAATAAATAGGGTTGCAAAGGGGTGGAAAATTTCCGGGAAACTTTCCAAAAATCCCTGGAATAGTCCAAAAAATCCTGGAAAGTTTCCAAAATTTCTGGAATATTTCCTAAATTTACTGGAGATTTTCCACCTTTTTGCAACCTAAATAATAAACAAGGTTATCGTCCGCTGCTGTGGACGCTAATAAGTTATCGTTACAGTTATCGCTCTTGGTCTGAACAGGCCTTAACTCTCATCCTTTAGGACTCCTCGGGGATGGTTCTGGATCGCTGGGTCACCATGAGCCCGGAGGACGAGGTCGTGACCTTGCATCAGTTTCTACGTTTTGGGGAAACCAAATCCATCGTGGAGCTCATGGCCGAGGAGCAGCAGATCCGCCCAGAAACCCATCGCAACCCCGCGTTCAAGCTGAGACATAAACCGCCCTCCAGAACACACCACTTTGAGAATCTGCCAGGAGGAAGTCTAGCGTTCCTGCAGCCTTTTCACTACGTCAGTGCATCCGTGTTTCCACCCTCGCCGGCTGTGGAATGTCATCCTTCGACACAAAAACTACAGCGGCTCAGCAAACGGAACAACGGCACAGATGAAATGAGAACCAGAAACAAAAGAGATGGCGCACCTGAAAGGCCGTTGCAGATACGAAGTTCCACGCAGTCACCGAAACGCCTGCGAAACGAAGAACGTCAAGTGGGAGTCGACGGGCCGATCGCAGACTCTTCGGGAACCGGGGAACGGTGCAACGGTTCGTCCTCGAGCAAAGCTCGTGTGAGCTGCAGTGTGTGCGCCAAGACGTTTTACGATAAAGGAACGCTGAAGATCCACTTCAACGCCGTGCACTTGAAGATCAAACACCGCTGTACTGTCGAAGGCTGCAACATGATGTTCAGCTCACTGCGCAGCCGCAACCGACACAGCGCTAATCCCAACCCGCTACTGCACGCCGCGGTCGAACACGCGACACGCAGATTCCTCACTCAACCGCGTCGACCGGTCTTGACCTTGCGCGAAACTACCTCGCCGGTTTCCATGGCAACCACCAACACTGCATTGACTGACCATCAGATTCCAGTTATCCGTGAAGGAGGAGGGGGAGGAGCTACAGGCAATCGTACGGCCAATCAGAATGGCCTTAGTGATGTGATTGACGTGACGCCGAAAAAGAAGTCGCGGAAGTCCAGTACGCCTTTGAAGCTTAAACAAGAAACTCGCAGTGAGGAACACGATCACTTATCACCAGGACAACCGGTCAACAGTCTCCATGGCAACCAGTCCCCAATGACCAACACACACACGCAGTACATCTACAAACAACTTTGGAAGACACCGTACGGTTACCATAGCAACAGCCACTTGCATAACCAATGGAAAGGCAGGTGTCAACCTCTACTAAAGGTCAAAGAGGAGCCTTGTGACCCCACCTGTGACTGTAGAGGTCGTCACCATAGCAACCTGTGACCGTAGAGGTCGTCACCATAGCAACCTGTGACTGTGACAACATGAGATCAGAACTGACTCTACACCGAAAAGAATCTGGTGAAGGATTTACAATTTTCACTCAGAAATCGCTGGTGTATTTCACAAATAATTACCAAGAAACGGCAAGTAGCACATTTAATTAAATATGAAAATCTGAGGTCGAAAGACTGAAATAGTATTTTCTTGTAAAAACATACTCTCATAATCAAGTCAAGTCACCTTTATTTATATAGCGCTTATAACAATACAGATTGTGTCAAAGCAGCTTTACAGTATTAAATAGGAACATAGTGTGTCAATAATGCAAAAGGACAATAGTAAACACTCAATTTTCAGTTAAAGGCAGTTCATCATTGAATTCAGTGATGTCATCATCCAGCTCAGTTCAGTTTAAATAGTATTTGTGCAATCATTTGCAATCAAGTCAACGATATCGCTGGAAATGAAGTGTCCCCAACTAAGCAAGCCAGAGGCGACAGCGGCAAGGAACCAAAACTCCATCGGTGACAGAATGGAGAAAAAACCTTGGGAGAAACCAGGCTCAGTCGGGGGCCAGTTCTCCTCTGGCCAGACGAAACCAGCAGTTCAATTCCAGGCTGCAGCAAAGTCAGATTGTGCAGAGGACTCATCTGGTTCCTGTGGTAATAATCTTTCATTTACAACTTCGAATATTTTTTATTTACAATATATGTTCCTGATCTTATCGAAGATTCATCCGTGCATGTTGTTGTTATGAAAAAAATTGCATTTGTGAACTTGAAACAAAATAAAATAGGTGTGTTGGGCCAAAGACCCTTTAAGGCAAGTAATTTCACTCGGCGGCCATCTTTGAAATGCCTCTCGGGCATGCAAGAGCAGATTCAAGATTCAAGATTCAAGATCAAATTCTCCAAAACTGTTCGCCAAGCTTACGATTACATTTCATATTTGAAATCACCAATCTGACAACAACTGTCTCATAAATGTTGTTTCTTTTGCTCAAATAGCGTTAAAAAAGCGTATTCAGGCTAGACCAGCCAATGCGCATGCGCAGTCCTATAACTGCACGACTCGGAGCGTTGACTGTTTCTATAGCAACCTCGGCAGCTGTAGTGACGCACTGACTGTACCGTTTAGCGATTGGCTCTTTTACTCAGAAGGCGGGGCTTCCTTCGATAGAGCAGCCATATAGACCCCTTTTTTAGTTAGTAAACAACTAAATCCGATTTTATCTGAATATGTAAGGTCACTCACTGCCGTGACAGCGATTGTTATTTGAAAAAGTTAACTTTAATGGATAAAACCAGACTGGCCGACCCGTACACACTCACTCAATGGATGGACGATCTGACAGAATTACTCACATTTACACCTGAAACCTAACGTGTATAATAAAGAGAAACTCACCTGTGTGTCTATCTAGTCATGAAGATGTATATATTCCAATCTCAGCAGGCAACTATTTTTACAGCTACATGAGAGTGATCTGGGCCAAAATACAAAAAAGTTAATAATTTAATGTGATGGATATATGATTTGAAGATGTATGTATGTAATGGCCAAATAGTTATTTTAAAGTATACATCTTGTAAATGATGTAAGTTTACAGTGACATTACAGTAGCTTTACATTACTTTACATACAGTACATTTAAAGTAAGATGTGAATATTTTCTAGAAATAAAAAATCCAGAAATTGCTAATTTTGAACTTTCTGCATTTGACTATTCTTTCTTACAAAGTTCTTAAAAATTCCAGCCACAGTCAATCACAATGTATATACAATTACAGATGATTAAGCATATAAATCGTCAGTTTGTTGTTTTAAACTTGTCTGATCATTGAACTAAATTAAATATTATTTAACACAGCCTAATTCAATTTGGTTTCATACACCAAAGGCTATATTTAAAAGAATTGGTGGGTTAGAATTTTTGTTGAAATGCGATTTCGAGATTTCTAAATTGCCTGTTAAGCTTTCAGATTTCCGTAAACAGATATTGCAATACTGGAAAATGATATTTACCCACAACTTTACACCACATGGAGCCACCTTGTGGAATAATATAATTATTACAATAAATAGGAAGACGCTATTTAAACAAGAATGATTTGAGAAAAAAAGTTATTTATGTTGTCGATTTAATGAAGATGGTCAGTTAATTCAGTATAATGCATTCATGGAGAAATTTGCGATAAAATGTTCCTTTAGAGAATATAATACTGTGTTGTAGAGCCATCCCTCTTGCATTAAAACAATGAATAGAAAATACTCTAACATATTCTGATGTCAGATGCACTATTCCCTAAATAATTAAAATGTGGAGAACCAAGATACCTCCATAACTAATTTCTCATATTTGTCATAACACCATTATATTCTACAGGTTTAATGAATTTGCAGACAATGTAGTTATCTGTAACTCTCATATAACTGTATTTTCACTGTCTTAGAGGAGAGTGCCATTGAATGTGTAGCTGGTGTGAAGTAGCTTTTCATGAAAAAAAAAAAAAAAGTGACAACAAACTGGATGTCAAAAAAAAAAAACTCCCAATAAATGTCCAAACAGCGATTCTATGACAGCATTTATTGTTATATCTTGTGCATCATTTACATTTAACATTTGATGTTGATTTGATAGGAAACATTATTAGTGGCATCATTGTACAGATTGAAAATTCAATGCACTGATTTTAAATTCAGTTGAGGTATCTGACATAATATATGACATAACACTGATCTTTTATATGCAGTGTCTTAAGAGCCATAAAGGCTGTAATATATGCTATTTTTAGATAAATCGCTCCGAGGGGTTTGACCAAGCAGTTAGACAGACAGACTATAGGTTATTTATTTGTACAAAATATCAAAGCACCCCACTCCCAGCCATTTCTAATATACATTTGATTAATATTGCTAAATATTATTAAATTGTAACAGCATTAAAGATCCATCTTTGATTGCCAAAAGAAGTCCAGGTGCAGTTCCCTCTCAGCCAATTAGATTTCACGTAGCATTTTCATCGGTCAGTCGTGGAAGTCTGATTGGTTGATAACTTTTGACAACGTTTAGTTGTTATTTATAGTTACAGTTATCGTTATAGTTGTGCCCCTTTTCCCAGACAGTATTGTTGTTTATGAGTTTCTGTGTGCATATTCTGCATATTTGAATGCTTTCCAACAATGACTGTATGACTTTGAGATCCATATTTCACACCGGAGGACAACTAAAAGACTCAAACATAACTATTACAAAAGCTGCAAACATTCACGGATGCTCAAGAGGATGTAAACTTTACTTAATTTCTCTTTTGCAAGTTTTTGAACACATTTTTTTTTTAAAGTAAAATTTAAGCATGGAATTAAGTAAAACTGTAAAAAATGACCGTGAATTTAACGGTAAAAGACTGTAAAAATGCTACAGTAAAAACCTGTTAAATGGTTAACGGTAAATTCCCCTACTATATACGGTGAAAAACTGTATTGGACATTACATGTATTGGACATTAATTTTACGGTAGTATACCATTTTTGGAAGTGAAAAAGACCGTATCATTTACAGTGAATAACCGTAAATTGACATTCCCAGAATTCCCTGCGTTACATTTCAAATTTGATGTTTTTTGTTGAAATAACTTATGTTTCTTCTTAGTTTTTTCTTATCAGTTTTGTACATTAGGGTTGTGTGTTACACCTAATGTTGTTAAATAAATGTTTATTGCATTATTTCAGTTTCATGTGTGTTACCATGAGGGTGTTTAGTGTTTGTGTGAATGACACTGTGCACCTTCTATACATGTTATTATTTAAAAGCTGCTTGTGATGGGCTTTGGTTCATCATGTGACTTTCTCATCACCACCTGCATTTGGTGGTTATCAGTGTATTACAAAGCTACAAAACAGCTACCGTATTTTTTACGGTAAAATTCCGGCAACCACAGCTGCCGGTTTTTTACCGTATATTTTACGGAATTTTTTTTACAGTGTACTTAACAGGGAGAGAACCTCACTGAGATTAAAAATCTCTTTTACAGGAGTGTCCTGGCCCAGTTATACAAATACACATATAACAATACAACACACAATAAAACAGCATTAAAAATACAGCCTTGGAAGCATTTGCAAATCACTAAATCTAGCTAAAACACTAAAATGAGTATGAATGAGTCATTTTGAGTAGAAAATGACCTCCGGATGTCACAAAACAGCACTAAACCTAACAACCATAAAACTGTGTAAAAACAACTGAAAATTTTTAACCTTATTAATTATTCATGCCCCAGTGAATTATGGGAACACCTTGGAAGCATTTGCAAATCACTAAATCTAGCTAAAACACTAAAATGAGTATGAATGAGTCATTTTGAGTAGAAAATGACCTCCGGATGTCACAAAACAGCACTAAACCTAACAACCATAAAACGGTGTAAAAACAACTGAAAATGTTTAACCTTATTAATTAATTCATGCCCCAGTGAATTATGGGAACAGTGGGATCATAATATTGATACTTACTTAAAGAATCCTTGTAAACACTTATAAATACTTATAAGTTCAAACTAATTTCTACAAGCTTAAATTGAGCACTAATATAGAATTTATTCTCTTTTTTTTTCATTCTTGCCTGAGCTAAGTTATTTAATGTAGTAATTACATTTGTTTTCCCGTAGTGTTTACTTCACCACAATATTATTTTTATCAGGATATCGGTCTAAATTATTATTACTTTGTCTTGTGGCAAAGGTGGTTTCATAAGGGTGGTACCGAATAAAACATCACTTATATTTACAAATAAGAGACAAAAATAAGCATGCAACCTTATGCACTCTACTACATAGCAATGGAAATTATTATATGTGAAACTCGCCCCGTTCTCCAGCATCTGAAGTGAATCTGATTTCACTCCGCGTGTTGAGAGATCACGTGACGCGGCTGCTGTCCGCGGTGCTGAAATCCTCACGGACGATGCTTTATGATGTTATTGGATCAGATCTGATTTTTCTGGGGCTTCATCAAACGCGCGCGCTCAGGGCGGGTCGTGTGACGTCACGCTCGCGTCCACGGACCAGACGCTCGGCGAGTCAGCGGATGTTTGCACCTCAAAACACACATAAAACCATCACTTAAAGCGGAACGACGGGAACACATAACGCGGGGAGATGTCTGTGGCGGGGCTGAAAAAGCAGTTTCACAAAGCGACTCAGGTAAGAGCGGAATCCGTCCGATATCCGCGGCGCATTTGATGCGCACGAAGCCGTCAGTCTCGAGGCCGAATCACAGCACGAGTTTGCTCCAGAAACAGACGCTTATGTCCGCGGTCAGATGGTTAATGCGCTTGCTTATGGATGTGTGAAAACAGCGCGAGACCTGCGGGGTACCAGACGCCGTCACGTGATCCCCAAATTTTCACGCGCGTTATGTAATCGGCCGAGCGCGCTCGAGCGATGCTCACCTGAGGAGAAAGGCACAGGTTTAACCGGGTTTATGGTTTAATTCGGTTTCTGTATAGACGCGAACCTTAGAGTGTTGAATGCAAAATATATATATATGAGCTAGGAATAAACATACAAAATAAAAAAATGTTTTAACAAATGCTGTAATGCTTTAAAAAAAATGCAATAATAATATAATAAAGTTGCTTTACAAACTTCTCTCAGAAATTGCCAGTAAGTTTTACAATTAATTATACAGAAATGGCACTGAATTAAACATGCAATTTTGAAGCAGAAACAATGAAATAGTTTTTCCTAGTAAAACGTACTCCAGTAATCTCCACTAATTTTACATTGTAGAGAAAACAAGTATTTATTACTTTTTTGTATTGCATATCAGTTCTGATGAGTTTTGCAGCATTTTATGAGGGTTGTCGTAATAATACATTATTCATAATGCATACGTTCAGTTGTGAGTGTATATAACTGTGTGTGTCTAAAATAGCTCATACATAAACACCTCCGGCCAACCGGAAATAGAAATGTGAATCAATACTCTCACGTGATCCCCAAATTTTCACGCGCGTTATGTAATCGGCCGAGCGCGCTCGAGCGATGCTCACCTGAGGAGAAAGGCACAGGTTTAACCGGGTTTATGGTTTAATTCGGTTTCTGTATAGACGCGAACCTTAGAGTGTTGAATGCAAAAACGTTCTTTCTTTTCCCTGTTGAATATTCACATGATTCTTGTACAGGGAAAACAGTTCATGACCCTGTAGCGGGGCATGTTGTCACAATGGAAGAATTTATAGTATGAAAAAAATTTATGTGTGTGTGTGTGTGTGTGTGTGTTGAAATTAGGAATCAACATAAAATTATATATGTGTGTGTGTATATATATATATATATATATATATATATATATATAT